GTGTGTATGCATGTGTATGTATACCCATGTACATATACCGGTAATAAACTTGTATTCTTTTAATGATTTGCTATGTTATGACGTTGAATTTTATTTTATTTATTTATTTATTTTTTTTTAAATTTCTTATTTAGTTTTTTTTTATTTTATTTATTTTTCTTTTTTTTTTCTCTTCTCAATATTTCTCTTTTTGAATTGTGTGTACCTAGATGTGTGCGTGTGTAAGTTTTGGCCTATAGTACTGTAGAGGAAAATAAGTCTGTATTTCTGTATCTACTTTGTATTTATTTACTTTAAGTAGTTTCATTTAAGTTTAATTGTTAAGTTATGATAAGAAGGGGCTTTCAAATGTTGTGCTTGTGCTTTTTGTATTTTTTTTTTAATGTAACTTCTTTTGTAAATTTGTTGGTCTTGAACGCACCGTCAATTGACGAGTGCCACTGTAACAAAAGTGAAAGTTCAATAAATTATTATTATGTAATGCATTAATTAGGTAAGATCAATGGCAACGCAAATCACAAATAAACAATTCTGAACCCATGTTTATAGCAATTAACAGTCAATTAACAATGTTATGTGCACTTCGTTGAGTTTTGCTTACTTGCATGCTTGAATGGATTGAAATATACTTTTTTTACTTCTTAATTCTTCCTCTATGACAAAAATTTAATTTTCTTAGTAAAAATAAAATACCCAAGGATTTGAACGGAATACCCAAGAACCCAAGAACAAGTAAAAATACCCAAGATCTTGGGTAAATACCCAAGCAGTGGTCACACTGCTCTAGATAACTTGCGAGGTGTGGGTCAAAACATCATTTCTAATCTCCTGACGCAAAACCCAATCGAATGACGAGTATCATATGAAACCCAAGGGTGTATAATAGGACGGTCAAAACATCATTTTTAATCTCCTGACGCAAAACCCAATCGAATGACGAGTATCATATGAAACCCAAGGGTGTATAATAGGACAATAGCCCGGATGGTGGCGTATCCAAATGGTAATTGAGAAAGTGTTGGAATCGAATCATAATTAAGCATAAATCTTTCTCAAGAATTATCCACTTTAACTAACACCAATAGAGATATTTTACTGTATCAACTCTTGTTAACTAAAAAGAAGATATTAGCAATAAATAGCAGTCAGACTACTTCCACATTATCTTGCATTCCAGATAAAATTTTGAAAACCATGACAAAACTTTAAGAACCCCATAAAAAATACATATTTACAATAATACACTCACCTTCCTTTGCTAGGAACACCATCGAGGTTGAAGCATTGTGACCACTGAATTCTGTCCACAAGTATTTCACACCGACCCTGCGTACTCCAACAGAAGAAGGGAATGTGAGAGAACATCTTATCTGTTGAGCTCTATATCTGCATTCTTGGAAAACAGTACCAGAAGTAAATATAGAATCGGCTAAATCGTGCTCTAGATTTATTAACTCGTTTTCTCCATAATGCGTGCCGTTGTCGTCCACCCATAAACCGATACCAAACATGACGTTTGTGTTTACGCCGTCCGCCTTGCCGGTGATGACGCGCAGTTTCGTCGTAGTGATATCGTCCACAATAAAGGAACTACTGAACGCTGTAATATCAGGTATTTTGTCTGAAATATTAAAAATAACCTAGTCAATTTTTACTCTAAGATTTAATGCTGTATACTAACATATCATCCGTTGGTCAGTGCTGTTATCTTTTTCCACAAGCTTCGCGGCTTGTCCTTAACATTTTCATTCACAAAGCCATTGTTGAAATAATCTAAATATATCAAATGAGAGAATAGAAAGTATCTATTTCTGTATCGTAGTTATACGCAGTCTTTAACAGCTAGAAAATAGATGTTTATGAATGTGGATAAATTTAATATAAACTGATAGCAAAATGAACTTTGATTAGCACACAAACATACGATTCACATTATATCTACAAAGTACTTCCTATAAAAAAAAAACGCCGTAACATCTTCACATTATTCAATATGTTTATAATTCCAAATTTTTCTTACGTGTGAATCCTGTTACGTTACTTAAGTTTCTTCTTTCCAATAAACGAATCTGTAACTTTAATTTCCTATAGACCAATATTATTATATCTACAAAGTACTTCCTATAAAAAAAAAACGCCGTAACATCTTCACATTATTCAATATGTTTATAATCCCAAATTTTTCTTACGTGTGAATCCTGTTACGTTACTTAATGACTGTTTCCTCTTGATCGTAGCAGCCTAAAGGAGCGGCGCGAACAATGTAATGTAAATTTAGAGAACTGGGAAGAAGTTGGGCAGGAGAGCCCAGGAGAGTGAAGTAACAGTACGTGAGGAGAGTAACAGTATGTCACGGAGTAAAATGCTACGAAGACCAGCGTAGCCAACATAGAGACTCTTCGTGCAAGAAGAATGGAACAGTGAGATTTTCCTGCCACTGCACAATGTAACAGACTAATCATGTAAAAGCAAAATAAAAACTGTCCAATGAAATACTTGTGACTCGCGTTTACAATTATAACATAAATATCAAATAAACCATTAGGTTATAAGGAATCTGTGAAGAAGGCTAGTTAAAATTAAAGTCTACGGGGAGAAAATATACAATTAAGGTGGATAAGGAAAACAATATAATTGTCAGCTGGGAGATATGTTAAAAAAATATATTATTGTTATTATTATTATTATTATTATTATTATTATTATTATTATTATTATTATTATTATTATTATTATAATCATCATTATTATCATTATTATTATTATTATTAATGTATTGTTATCTTTTTTTAAATTAATATTATCTATATTATTTTATTATCTATTATTACTATTATCATTTTTTTAAATTTTGGGCAAAATGTTATTAATTTTAATGATATGCTTAAATCCATCACAGTATTGTGACCTTCCTAACCCCTTGACTATTTACTACTGTAACCCCCAGTAGACCCCAAGTTGAGACCCGTGGCTCCAAATAATGTTTTAAATTTTTCAGTTAATCACAGCTGAATAATACTACAGTACTTTGTTAAGGATTCAAACTGTTTGAATGGATTTGAAAATAAAGTCTCTCAAAATCAGTGTCCTAAGTATGTCTACTTTAGAATATGCAAGGGTGTTCAATAGCATGTCCTTATAAATGGTTGCAATGATATTGTTATTTCCTGGTTGATATTAACATTCTGAAAAAAAAATAATTTCGATGTCTGTATCTGTCACAAATGAAATGTGCCAAAGTAAACTACATAGATAAATGTATTATGCATAAAACGTAATATTAGTGCTATGTATTCAGTTTAAATTACAATATCTTATTAAGAATAGTTATATTCAAACACAGTCATGATATTATACTAATGTTTGCAAAGCTTGATATAAAAATATTTGTTTTTTGTTATTTCCTGGTTTAATATCTTAAACACGAACATTCTGAAATAAAATAATTTTAAAGTCTGTATCTGTCTAAAAATGAAATGTGAAAAAGTAAAAAACATACATAAATATATGCATGAACCTTAATAAATATATATATTCAATTACAAAATAAAAACAATGTCGTTATTAAATATAGTCATATGTAAAGATTCATATTTAACCATACTAATGTGACATATAGCACTTTAAACATATGACCACCTAAGGTTATTGATTTCAAAGTTTAAAGCTTACCAGCACATGGTCGACCAACAATAATGCAAAAGATGAAAAAAATTATCCTACGATCCATTTGCTAGTTATTAATGTGAGCTGTGAGCTCGCTCAGCTTTTTTCTTAAATACGTTAGTAACGGTGATAGTGGGCCTGATTTATTCTAGGACATAAAGCCTGGGTGAAAAATTACCAACAATGTCAATTGTTAAAAACTACAAAACGTTTATACACAACAGACTCACGGCCCATTAAAAAAAAACGCATCCAACATTCGTATGCATCAATGATAAAGCTGACTGGACAGACTAATAATAATAATAATAATAATAATAATAATAATAATAATAATAATAATAATGCAATAAGAATAATGAATACACTAATGATAATATGGACTATACAAACTAATATCACAGATCCTACAGTATACCGTATCTGTTAATATGAAAGCTCTGTTAGATGAAACCTGGCAGTCCTATATTTACATAGGGTACGGCCGTGCCCATTATTTGTTAATGTATAGGGTAGATTTGATCGGATCGGGTCGGATACGGCACTAGCTTTATTTGAGCTCAGAAAAGTATGAACCAATGAGCTCTCACTGGCGGCTGTAAATTGGTAGTAAAGTACCGCTACAGTATTTGTCGTTTTATTAATGCATTTGGTTGGTTTCAAGAATACTTTTGGATAAGGTTTTCAAGTAATCTACAGTTCATTATGATGCATGATGCATTCTTTTATCTCAAGTATGTTGGAAGTAGGCCTCCGCCAGGGGCGGATCCAGAGATGTCCGAAAGTTTTGGGACCGAAAGGTGGGGGGGGGGGGAGAAGGGGGAGAGGCATGCAGGGGTCCGAAATTGGACCCGATCGAGAAAACTACGCGATTTTTTTTTAAATTATTATCTTTTTTTTTAACTTTCCAAAAAAGGGAGGGACGGCCCCCCCCCCCCCCTCTAAATCCGCTCCTGTCCGCCGCGGACAGAATACAATGAAAGGGCCGAAATTAATTGTGAATTTTAGCCATACGCCACTTCTAATTGCTGCGGAGGACGAATGTTACTAGAGGCCGAAATCGCTTACAGCCAAAAGCTTGGAATAACAGACGAGGTAGAAGCCTATCATAGAAGACGGAGGTTCATTTTCTGGAGGGTAAAGTCAACTAGTCTTAAAGGACTCTAAAAGTAGGGGTTGCCTTTGTAGGACCTTTATATTATATCTAAAGATAAGCAGTCAATGTATCGACGTGGACAGAAATTTCAGCATTCAATCTTTACGGTTATAACAATCGTTTGTGATGTCATGTTTATATATAGGCCTATATGCGTTTTTTACCTAATGGTTATGTT